AAGAGCTGTACCATGGAATCTGATTGAGCTGAGTCTGAGTCTCCTGCCTGCAATCTAGTCTCCCCGGGGGGCAGCATTCCTCCGTCACCGGCTCACAGATCCCAGCTTCAGCCACCTTGCACTCTCCCGCATGATCCAGTGGCCAGTGGATCTTGCATCAAGAGGAAAGCGCACGGGGGGAAATTAAGGCAGTACACGGCTGGACAATGCTCCAGCAGCAGAGACCCACAGAGACACAGAGAAGCCGGCAGGGCCAGACCCGCCTTCTTCCAGGGCACGCGGCTGAGACCAGGGGACCGGACCCGCGCCGCAACTCCCGGGCGTGCCTGCGCACACCACGCCAGGGTGCCCAGCACACGCGCACCATAACCATTAATATCCACACCACCATTTCTACCTTATGCTGTCTTGAAATTTCTTCTGCCAGAGAAATTAGTCCATTACTTTTCAACTTAGCCTCAGGCAAGCTTTTAGGTTGAGGGCAGACTCCAGCCAGACTCTTTGCCAAAATATCCCAAGTGTTGCTTAAGTCCTTATTTCCTTCTGGAACTACATTGTTCTCAGCACTGCTTTCTTCCAGGCATTTACTAGAATGGTCTGTTAAGCTCCGCTTACAGCAAGCAACCACCTTTTCAGCCCAAGCTTCCAAAGTCTTCCACATTTCTTCAAACATGATCAGGTTCTTCACAGCCAACAGCCCACTCTGGTACCAATTACTGTCCTAGTTTGTCTCTTCATTGCTATAACAGAACACTCTGACCAATACCAACTTGGGGAGGAAGGGGTTTATTCTGCTTCCATCTCCCATGTCACAGTTGATCAGGGAGCCCAAGGTAGGAACTCGGGGTAGGATCCTGGAGGCAAGAGCTGGAGCACAGGCTATGGAGGAACACTGCTTACTGGCTTGCTCCCTGGCCCCTGCTCAGCCTGCTTTCTTATGCAACATGGGCCCACCTGCCCATGGGTGGTACCACCCACAGTGGGCTGGGCCCTCCCACATCACACAACAATCAAGAAGATGCCCCTCAGACATGGCCACAGGCCAGTCCAATAGAGGCAATTCCCCAACTGAGGCTCCCTCAACCCAGGTGTGTCAAGTTGACACTAAAGCTATCCAGTACACCTGGGTTTGAATCCCAGCACCCACATGGAAGCTAACAACTGTCCCTAACTCCAGTTCCAGGGGATCTAACAGTCTCTTCTGTCCTCTGCAGGTATTGCATGATACGGGTGCACTTACCTACATGCAGGCAATACACGCATACACATAAAATAAAAATAATAAAATATTTAAAATATATATTCTGATAGGAGTGTTGTGGTTTTCTCACCCATAGAACAACAGTCCAAACTGTCATTAGTATCTCTGACTGACAAGAGAGCTCAGCATTCTGGCTTGTCACCCTCTTTAAGACAAGGATCCAATCCTAGTATTTCTCATTTGGTGTGGCAATCACCCATCTTCCCAAGTTACTCCCAGCCAGGCAGCAACCTCTATGACTCCATACAGCTCATCTTGTGACTCACTGTGGACCTGCACAGTGCCAATCACATAGTAGTTAAATAATAAATATTTGCTGAATGATTGGATGAAAGACTTACAGTGAAGATTCACTCATTCATTGATTCATTCAACCTCTAAAAATTTCAGAAAGGACCTCTGTCTGGGACTTTTCTGAGAAGAATAGAAATAATGGGCTGAGAATGACTGAGGCTAGGAGCTGACTCTGCCAAGTTGGCTGGGTCACAAATACAAATACTGGTGAGTAGCAGATCCTCCTCGTGTGTGGGAGATCGGAGTTTAGATGAGAGTAGTCAGGGGAACAGATAAACTACAAAGACTTCCAACAGAATTCCAGGACCAGTTTTCTGCCTCAGGTATGGCTGAGGGAATTATCTCATCCTCTCTCATTTATTGTGTGTGCTCATTTGTGTACAAGTATGTGTGCACACATGTGCACATGTGTATGGATATCAGAGGACAATTTCAGGTGCAGTTCCTCAGGCACCATCCACTTTTTGTTGTTATTGTTTGTGTCAGGGTCTCTTACTGGCCTGGAACTCACCGAGGTCCTTGTATTTTTAAGGCAAGTGCTTTAAGTGAGCTGCCACCCCAGCTTGCATCTGGCTCTGGTTTAGATCCTCTTTATTTCCTCTTTTTTTCATTATCTTGGAATGGATTGCCTCTCCAGGTAAAGATCCCCTCCATCCTCTGCAGTCCACCTCCACCCACAAACGTGTCTACATCCTTTTCCCTTTGCTCACTGCATTTTCAATAACCATGTGCCCTTATTTTGAAACACCCCACTCGATTCCATACTCACAGAGAGTTACAGTCTAATCTCTTCTTTCCTTCATACCTAACATTCCTATGAGAGCACCTTCACCCGCCTTCACTTCTGTACCTCTTAATCACTATTACAACAGAGTTCCAATATCTAGAACCTTACAGAAATAAATATTACCAATGTAACTTGCTAAAACCAATGGCTACATCTGAGTCCTTATTTTCCCTGTACTCTTCAGCTCTTGCCTCTGCTGAGCAAACTTCCTTCAGGTGCTCCCCTGGAATCAGATGATGGTCTCAGGATTCTCTCCCACTCTTCTAAACTCAACTTCTCATGCCTTAACCCTTTGTCCACTGAGGTAAAGTTGTCCCTTTAACTCCCAGTGCTCTCTCCAATCGCTAATCCTAGATTATTAAATCCATTTGAAGATTGTCTCAATATTTATGCCTTAAAAAAAACTATCTCAAAGCCAGGTATGGCTGTGTGATGGAACTTGTCATTCAATGTCACCTCTATCTACTCAGACACTAAAACCAGAAACCAGGCGATCAGTGTTGGCTCCTTAATCTCCAAGTTACCAGGACCTGTCCATTCTACTTCCTTAAACCTTTTGTTACTGGGTTCTGGAGTTCTACTCCCTGCCTACTGTACCAAAACAAACCTGGAGACAAAGATTGGTAGAGGATATTATTTTATTCAAGGTTGGGTTTGGAAAATGTGGTAGACACTATACACCTCACTGAAAAGCATGCCCGACTTTCAAAAGGGGGAGACAGTCTCAGGGGTTTTTAAGACAATGGGTAGAGGATTCCTGTGTTTGGAGAAATTGACTCCTAGGTTTGGAGAAGTCCTTTGTTCTTCCTTAGGTTCTGTGAAGGGTGGGGACTTACTCTTATCTTTTTCTTCAAAATTCTTCAGGCCGGACCTCCAGAGTCCCTGTTAATATGCTAATTTTACAAGTGTAGCTAAAATTCCTTCTAGGGGGTATAAACAACATCTATGCCCTCCTCCCTTGGTCCCAAAAACAAACTGAGATATGATTTCACCCAACTGTAGTCTGGGAAACCAGTGAGCTTATTGGGCTTACTTAGGGAGCAGTGGGTGAGGGTTTACTTACAGGAGTGTAATGCACTGGGAAAGTCTTCATCCAAGCTTTTGGAGTGTGACAGTCAACAAGGCTTAGCTGTGAGGATCCTAGGTAAGCAGGTACAACCAAGCCTGGGGAGGTGGCATCTGTCCCTGGTCTGTGTGTCAGAAGACAGTCCTATGCAACAAGTTAAAATGGTGACAGTGAAAAGAAGGAGGACGTATTACTAGATTTCCTTCTCAGGAACTTAGAGCACAAGGCAGAGCTGGATTAACTGTGCAAATAGTGGAGCTGGACAAAGGGGGGAGGATGCAGCACCAGACACCTCTGGGCTAGGACTTACAGCTTGTGAGAGGGATTAGTATTGTGAGTGAATATCAATGGTAAGCAAAGGTGATTTTGGCAGCTTTGTTTAAATTGCATGTCAATTAGTCAGCAAAAGAAAGGCTATTGCTTCCTGGTAAGTCATAGCTCCTTCTTTATAAATTTATTTTTACTTCCTGTCTGTAATTTTTAGTAACACTATTCTGTCACATTTTCAATTCAGCCTCCGTTGAGTCTCCATCTTCCTATCTGTTGCTCCTAAACTGCCTGACCAGTTTTTAGTTCCCGTTCTCATCAGTAGGGTAGATCCTTGTAATAAAGAAAGATGGACGGACAAACAGCTGAAAAGCATGTAAACCTCTAGTGCCCATAATATGTAGGAGAGACTCAGAAAAATGAGTAAATCTGGAAAAGGTAGATTTGAATTCAGATTTAAATATCGTTAGACTTTGAAACAAGGAGGGGAGGCTGGTTATAGGGCTGCCCAGGAAAACAGGTAAACAAGGGTAAAACCTGTTAGGGTTTGTTATGCAGATTTAAGCTAGTGTACTCTCCATTGATGAGAGTCTCTAGAAATTTCGAGTAACCCTTGTTTTCCTGGTCCAGAGAGGGAGACACCCTCACTAATAGGGATTTTTTTTTTTTTTTTTTTTTTTTTTTTTTTTTTTACCTGGGCCAGGGGGGGAGACCCCCCTACTAATAGGGGTTTTTTTTTTTTTTTTTTTTTTGTCTTTTTGAGACAGGGTCTCCCTGTAGCCCCAACTGTCCTGGAACTCACTATGTAGACCAGGCTGGCCTCAAACTCACAGAGATCCGCCTGCCTCTGCCTCACAAGTGCTGGGATTAAAGGCGTGCGCCACCAGGCTGGGTGAGATTTCTTTTATAAATATAAATTTCACTTACAAAAGGTAACTTGGACTATGTTTGCAGAGCTTCTCTGGTATCTGCTGTTTCTCCAAATTATGAGTTCAAAATAATCCTTATATCAAAGAGGTTGTTTGGGAAGGACAGATTGTGGTCTCTTACAGTCATATGTTGGGTTGCCATATTCTAGTCTCCTACACAACCAAAGCAATCCGAGAGGCAAAATAGCATGCACACACACACATACACACACACACACATGCACGCACGCACACACGCACGCAAAGACTTAAAAACCATGGCAAGAATCCCTTTCCCATCTTCAGTTAAGTTCTTTCACAAACTCTTTGGGAGATTTCAGAGAAAGTTTAAATAAAATCCCTAGTTTACCTTTCAAGGCCTGCCAGCTCCCCCTCCAGCCCCACCTGCAGCCTTTCAGCAGGCTGTTTGTGGTCCCTGGACCTCATCACCTCTCTGCTTTCTGGGCCTGTGGATTATGCCAGTCTTTCTACCTAAAGTTCCTTTTCTCTCTCTCCTTTTCTGCATTCAGCAATCTTCAATTCACTTTTCAAATCTAGCTCAGATGACACCTTTTCCTAGACGTCTTCCCTGACTCCCAGAGTAAAGGGCTAAGGGTTACGATAGAACCCCATGGAGGCCCTTCCCCTAGTACCCCATGGAGGCCCTTCCCCTAGTATGTTAAAAACAAGGAACAGCCGGGTGTGGTAGCACCCGCCTGTAGTCCCAGCACTTGGGAGGCAGAGGCAGGCGGATCTCTGTGAGTTCAAGGCCAACCTGGTCTACATAGTGAGTTCCAGGACAGCTGGGGCTACAGGGAGACCCTGTCTCAAAAAGATGAAAACAAACAAACAAACAAATAAAAAAAAAGGAACAACTAGAAGATTTTAAGTACAGTATTGCCAGCCTAGTGACTACTACTTGTGAAACATTTGGTAATTTTCTGTGTGTGAATGACCAAGGAAGAAGAGAAGGAAGGAAGGAAGGAAGGAAGGAAGGAAGGAAGGAAGGAAGATCTAGGTGTCATCAGGGTTGGTCCCCTCAAAGGACTACAAGGAAGGAAGGAAGGAAGGAAGGAAGGAAGGAAGGAAGGAAGGAAGGAAGGAAGAGCAAATGGATTAAACCATCTAGAACTCTAAATTTTACCCCACATTATATATCCATCATGCCCTCTTGTGACTGATGGGCTGACTCTTAAGTTTTAGTGGATCCTGAACCAGGCAAACAGATATTGATTCCCCAACATGCAGAACACCCAATATTGATGCTAAACAAGCTCACGTCTAATAAAGTACAATACACATGTGAATCACTACAATCTTTGTGTTACATAATGCACACAGCAGAGTAAAGTAGCAATGGCAAGGGTGGGGAGTGAGCCATGCTACAGGATCGAAGTCCATTCACCTCTCAGAGCCAATACTTGAGACACAGAGTTGATGGAAAAGAAGTCAAGTTAATCTAGGGCAGCACCCTGAAAACTTGCAGAGAGGCCATCATCCCCCCACCAAAATCTCAGTGGACTCAAGTATATCAAAGGGCTTTTACAGAAGGAAAAGATGCACAGTTGGACAACAGGCAGGAAAGCTATATGCTGAGCAGGGTTTTTCTTAATTTTTTTTTTTTTTTATGTGTATGAGTGTATTGTCGGCATGTGTGTAAGTACACCTTATCATGCAATGCCCGTGGAATCAGAATAGGGCATTGGATTCCCCCTAGAACTGGAGTTATGGACAGTTGTTAACCACAATGTAGATGCTGGGAATCAAACCCAGGTCCTCTGCAAGAGCAACCAGTGCTCTTACCCACTGCGCCATCTCTCCAGCCTCCACCGAGCAGGGTTTTTGTTGTTCAGGGAATGCATGTTTCTACACACGTTCCTGTTTTCCTTCTACAAATTAAACATCACAGCAATCCGCAGGTTTTATGTTAGTTAATGAACAGAATTAACGAAAAAAGAAGGGCACATTCTGATGTTAACTGAAGGTCACCCGAGAGTCTAGGTTCTTGTCTTGCTTTGCTTTCTATTTCTGTGATACAAACTCTCACCAAAACAACTTGAGGAAGAAAGGATTTATTGCATCTTACCCTTCCAAGTGTAAGATGCAACAAGTGAGGGAAATCAGGCAGGAGCTCAGGGCAGGGACCTGGAGGTAGGAACTGAAGCATGGACCATGGAGGAACGCTGCTTACTGGCTCGCTCCTCTGCCCTGTGCTCACTCTGCTTTCCTATACAACCCGGGACCACGTGCTCAGTGGTGGCATCACCCACAGTGGGCTGGGCCCTCCTGCATCATTCAACAATCACAATAATGTGTCACATATATGCCCATAAGCCAACTGGATAGAAGAAATTCCCCAACTGAGGTTCCTACTTCCCAAGTGTGTCAAGTTGACAACTAAGACCAACCATGGCAGTTCTACAAATCTAAAGACTGACAGTCAAAATTTTCATATTTTAGGTGGGGTTTTTCTTTAGAATATTGAATGCTGGGGAAAGGAATGCTGGGAAGGGAAACAAAAGTAACTCTGCCAAGGATAGTTCCAAATGACGTGGCCTCTGCTACAGAGCTTCTCCAGCCTCCAGCTCTGTGCATTTTCTAGCTCCCCTAGGTGTCCCTTTTCTCATCTGTGAGCATGCTTGACAATATGTACTTCTCAATGTTGCTGGGAAAGATTTTTAAAAAGTCTGATCCCCAGGCACATGTGTGGTTGCTTATGGAGTAAGACCTCAACAACAGTTAGCTTCTTTCCTTTCCATCTGCTTTCTCACAGCCCTGTAACAGCCCCAAAACCTACTAAAACTGGATTGAAATGGAGTGAAGGCCGTTCCATCCTTATCTAGAGAGTGGGCACATCTCCATGGGACAATGGAAATGCAATGCACAACCTTGCTTTTAAAAGGTTAGTGACTCCCAGGGAATCCATGGGTACACAAAGAAGTACTTCCTGGAGCCTGGACCCCCATTTCTTCTATACATGATGAGAGTTGGGTGCATGAGCAGCGAAGCATTGCTATCCTTCTTGGTTTAACAAGAATTATGAGTCCTCGTTCTTTTATAGCATCTGGCTATGGAATTCTCTTCTTCCTGAGCCTTTGACTGCTGCTCATAAACTACAGGATACAACCCCAACTTGTTAGCATGACGTGCAAAGTCCTCTGTGAATTGTGGTCTTCCTGCCCTCTGCTGCCCATCTGCAGGTTCCAGCTAGTCTCCGCTTTTGTGTGAACCATGGTTCTAAAAGACCTTCTCTAACCCTTCTGATCCCTCTTCATGCTGTTCCTCTGCCTGAACGTTGGGCCTAGTGCTTGCTAAAGTCATTTTCACTTTCCAAAGACCAGCTCAACTACTACTCTGAGTCGCTCCTCCAGGTATAGGTTTATTGTCCTCATTGGCCCCTACCATTATATTCAGCCCTTTCTGTGGGGTTCAGACCTTTACCCTTTGTGCCCTGTCATCTGATCTTACCTTAAGCAGAAGCTCTTATCTGATGTTGAATCCTCCAACCCTTACACAGGATCCCGAACTCAGCAGATGTTCTGTAAAGGATATTGAATTGACTAGAAACACAAAGCACCAGGACGTCATCCTAACAAGTTCTCCTGACTGCTGCTACAGTCATGCTTTCCTGCTTCACATCTGAAGCTGTGGCCATTGTGATTACTGAGTTATATTGTCTAGCTGAAGAATCTTTCAGTTGGCCTGTGTCTACTACAGGGTGGCGAGTGCTAAGAAAGAATCAAAGTCAAAGGAGTATGGCCAGAGGAAACAGAGCCAGTTAAAAAGAGCAGAGAAAGCACGTAGAGCTACATGCTAAGTGTATTATGTGTGTGTGATATACATGCCCCTGCTAGTGTGTGTATGTGTGCATGTGTGTGTGTAGAGACCAGAGTTTGACATCAAGTGTCTTTGATTGTGCTCCACCTTACTTTTTCAGATAGGATCTCTCACTGAATTTGGAGCTCATCAATCCAGTTAGGCTAGCTAACCAACGAGCACCAGAGATCCATCAGTCTCTGCCCCTTAAGCACTGGGGTTACAGATGTGTTCCACTGCAACTGGCTTATGTGGATCCAAACTCAAGTCTTCATTCTGGAGAAGCAGGCATTATACTGACTGAAGCATCTCCCCAGCCCTATCAAGTACATGCTTTTAAACCTTTTATACAGAACCTACCATGGGCCTGATGTACTTCTGGGTGCCTAATATGCACACTCAATCTGTAGATCACTATGTAAAGCTAGTCCTGTTGTTATCCTCGGTTTACATGTAGGAAAAATTGAGATACAAGGAGTTCAACTAACTCTTCCAAGGCCACAAGACTAGTAAGTGACAGAGGTTTTGTGAAGAGCAAGGAATACCCAGAAACAGAAAACATCCTCTCAATGGCAAAATTAATCAAGAGGAGAAGAGCAGTGGGCAGTGTGTGGGAAAAGGAGGCAGGCCAAGCAGCCTGGACATTCACTGAGTCGTTCAATACCAATGCCAGGTATCTGTACCTGCCTCTGTGATAGGCTCTGAGAGTACAGTGGTGAACACACAAGGTTCAGTCCCTGAAATCACAGTGGAGAAGAGCCATCAGGTAAATATACATTATGGAAAGTACTAGAAAGGGAAAGTCTATGGCCCTGTGAGCCCAAATAGAAATGAGTATCTAATATCACTTGTGTCCTTCATGCTTGTATAAGAGGATGAGTTAGCCAAAGGAAGGGAGAGAGGGAGGGAGGACCAGCAGAGGGACTGGAACATGCACAGGTCTTTGCCATTTTAGCAGCTGGAAGCCAGTAAACAGAAGGACACAAGTGATACCAGCAACATAGGCATTAGTCAAATCATTCAGACTTTGAAGCAAAAGCCTGTATGGAGGAAAATGATGGGAGGGAAAAATAGATCTAATGCAGATCTTCAACAAAGCACTTAAACTTTTGTGCTTTATCTTTGAAGTTTAGCAGAGCCAAGACAGGACCTTAAGCACATCACTTTAAAGATTAAAAATAAAAACAACCAAAATTGTATGTGTTGGATAGTGGGAGTTTAGGGAGATTGGGGTGAAACGTTCAGGAGAACCAAAACAGCCAAATGATCCTAATCTAGAAAGAGTTAACCCCTTCCTGTCCTTGATGTCTTCATCGGCCCAGGCACACTGCAAAATAATAAGCTATCATTTATCTGTATTCTGCAAAGTAGTGTTTAAAACTGAAGTCAGGCAATAAATCAGGCACATATAATTCAAGCCCTGAAGTACAGTAATTCTTCTCTTAATGTAACATCTGGTATGGATAATGCAGTTTGCAGTTGGGAGGGAGCAGGCAGCACTGCGCCCTGTGCACAGGATTGTGCATGTAGAGTTGGAAGCCCCATTTTCCTCCCATCTTCCCAGAAACCCTACAGACTTGAAAAGGAATGTTACTTATTATTATTGCTAAGCTGGCCAAAAGGGGAGTGAGTTAACTATAGACTTGTTTGTAAGTTATTAATCAGATGCCGGCTAAACATGAAATCGCAAGGGGAATGCCATTTCCCACTCCAGCCTCTGGGAGTTTCAGAGTTGTCCATCCTGCATTTGCTGTCCACCAAGTCCACCCCACCTCCTGTTTCCTCTGCAGATTTTCTCTGGAGGGTCCCAGGGCCTTTACTCTGTGTACAAACGAAATCTTACTGTTAGATGGGGAGGAGCACTAGACTGAATGCTCTGTAACAGCAGGAGACAAAGGGAGGAAACCTGCAGACACTGCCTGGTCCGAAGAAAACACAGGGCTGGCAGGGTGCCACACCCTCCCTGCTCCCTGGCTCCCAGGTCAGTTGGATAGCCCAAGTTCTCACACTTCCTGTGAGGCAGCTCCACCACAGGTGGGAGTGATTAGAAAGGCAAGCTTTGTGGCCAAGGCACCAGAGGCCACAGTTTGGCCCACTTTCTATACCCATGACACTGGGGAGGTACTCTACCCCCCTCCCCCCAGACCCCGTGCTTGAGCTCCCTCCTCTCCCCTATACAAGCCAGCATGCCCAGGCCACAGGCATTCTTTGGACATTAAACAAGATAAGGTTTGTCGGGGGCACAGCAGGGACCCTGGCATACGGCTGCTTATAAATATTAGTTTCCTTTTCCCCATTCTGCCATAACTCTGAGGAGACAAGCTTTGTGTGCACATCTCCACGTGATCATCCCGTTTTACAAGGTATATCTGGAACCTTGGTGCATCTGAAAACCTTTTTTAACAGCAGCTTTCTCTACTCTAAAATGGGAGATCAGCACTCACCGAGGAAGGTCCTTGCAGATCTGGATATCAAGAGTAGCCAATGTCTTAATCAATATTACTACTGAGTTCTCTGAAAATAGTCCTCAGTGTAACTATAGAAGGGGTTATGACATGGATGCCTGTGGCATAAGAAGAGAGAGATTAATCAAAGTGAATCACATCAAAGCAGCACCATTTCTACTACAGTTGGGATGGTAAGGTTCCATATTAAGAGCATGCCATCAGTGTTGTACAAAGCCATACAGGTTTCTTAGCAAAATCTATCTAGACTGTTGGGGGACCCTGCTGCTAAGGTTGTAGTCCTCCGTGTCTGGATAGCTCTAAGGGGTGCCTTCCTCAGCGGGGGCCTCCTGCTCTCTGCCTGACTTACCTGGAAAGTGCCACCAAGCACGGATACCTGACTTTATTTGGAACATGACCTTTGGCGTAGTTACTTGGGGTAAAAACTACCCCCAGGTTTTTTCTATATGAAAATTAGGCATTTCCCCATACTCAGATGATAGGATCCCTCCACCACATGTAAATAAAGCATACTATGAGCACCTATCAGCTGAAGCTTTGGCTGCTGCCTCCACACTACATTTTCCCCAATCCACTGAATAAACGGAGCTGTTTCACTGAGTCTGGAGCTGTTTCACTGAATCTGCCTCCCCGGAAGGGCTTTCTTCCATCAGTGCTCACTGGCCGTCCTGACCCCGTTCATCGCTTCTGCTCCCTTTGTTCTCATGGATCAGTGGCCAATGACCCATGAGGGGAGGGAGAGTCCCCACACTAGACCATCAATTTAGCCTTCTCTAAATGCTCCAGTGCTCATGTTCTGTCCTTATCTAGAGAGAGCAGCAGTTACTCCCACCTGACCAGCATTAACCAGGTTGTTTCTTGGCTAAGAAGAGCTAAGAAAAGTTCTGACCACCAGGGACTTCCCTAAAAAAAAAAACATGAGGCCTTTTCAAAATTACTACTTCCATGGAAGAAACAGAAATTCTTCCAGGAAATGCAACTAAAACTCCAAAGAACCGTGCATGGGACTTTACAAATCCCAAACATGGTATTCACACATCCCTGCAGTGAAAACTGGAGACTGTTGAATCACCATGAAGATGTCCCAATCTTCCATGAGAGCAGGCACACGGCCCGTCAGAGCCTGTGATGGTATCAGTCTTGCAACTTGAGTTTGTACCATTCAATCCCATTTGGTTATTCTCCTCTTTTATTGCTTTTGATACATCGTTTTGCTTTCCACTCATTTTCTGGCAGCCATCACTGGACCTAGATTCCCATCCTAACTCTTCCACTAAGATCCCTCTAACACAGATGCTGGAAATCCAATGGTGAAGGTATAAACAGGACAGACAGAAAGTAACTGTAGAATTACACAGAGCTATTTCATTGCAATACTACTGAGCACTGGATGCAGAATCGCTGCGATGTCTTGGTTGATCTCCTGAAACACCGCTTAAACAAACTGTTGTGCCTATTTTGAAGATAAAGATGGAGATTATACAACAGACACAACAACACAGCTGTTGTAGAAAGAAGAAAAACTGGGAGAAGGAGGAAAGGAGAGAGGGAGCACAAAACATTTGCAAATTGAAAAGTATATATAAGAAAAAGTTATGAGAATATGCATTCCTGTACCCCGGGGCACCAAACAATCTCCCAAGACAGGTTTGAAGAATAGGCTACAGCAGCGTTTCTCTTGCCTTCTGTGGGATGAGGAATGAGAGGTAGGTAGGCGTCTTGGAAATACCTACTGTATGTTCTACTGCTTGGCGAAGTTCTTCATACGCCAACTGATAACTTGAAACCATTATTCAACCTCTCCAACTAGGCTCCTAGTTTTCAAGAGGAAAACAAGAACTGTGATCACTGTCAGCACGAAATGGAACAACATTCATTCGCATGTGCATTTACACATCTAATGGAACAACATTCATTCACATGTGCGCTTACACATACATTTACTCATACATCACACTAGGTGCTTGGGAAATAGCAAATTTCCACTCTCGCTTCCCCTCCCTTGCTTTGCCTTGGCTTCCCTTGTTTCTCTTCCCTTCTTTTCCTCTCCCTCTAGAGAGATCTTCATTTCACAAGAAGATGAATCAGCATTCTAGTATCCTTGGCAGGAGATTGCTGTCAGAGGCGTGCCCTGCCCTGTCAGTATGTGGCTTTGGCTCCAGGGACTTAAATCTGTTTTTAAAAAGGAAAAATAACTAGCATGCCCCTCGCTCCTAATTTCCCACTTGTTGTTCATGCCTTACCCATTGTATGAGGGGTGGAGTGCTTCTAAACAAGAGGAAGGGGGGAGAGGAGGAGAAGGCTAGCATAGAAGGGTTTCATGGTTTTTATTTGCAGCTCTGAGAGCTTACGACTAGTTTAATGAGAAAATACCTTCTCCCTGTTCTCCAAGAGTTGAGCAGTGAGGCATTAGTAGTTCTCCGTCAACACAGAAAAGCTTGGGGCAGGCATCCAAAGTGGGCCTTGCCTGATGCGTGCCAGTGTTTTAAAGATCCAAAGTCTATAGAACCATTGCATCTCCCACGACCTCCACATGCAAAACTAATTGGAAAGCTTACTCTAAGAGCTCTGCTTCCCTCCTGAAGACCTGGGATGCTTCCTCCTGGCAATGAGAGAAAAATGTGTCGAACCCCTACTTTGTTCCCACCTACTTTGCTGGGTGTCTTGGGGCAGGGGACAGAGCAAATAAGACAGTGACAAGATTGTCTGTGAAGTTCAGCAAAGACCCTCCGCAGTTTAGGTGTGTGGGTTAGAGCGTAAAGAAGCTGCAGGGCAGAAAGCAAACCCAGTTGCTGGGAAGTAGTGCTTATTATTATGCAGTTTCATCTGGCCAGGGGAGTTCATGCTGTTGGACCTTCCTTTTCATTGTGTATCTGTCCCTTCCTATAATATGGGGAGGGGGCTAGAATTTCCAGCCACAACCATCGACAGCTCATTTAGACACATTCTGCATGCAAAGACACTGGAGTCCAGAGAACATAGATTGCAGAGCTAGAATCCACACATACCTCTGAGGCAAGAGTCCATCCTGTCTGCCTGTCATACACCACCCAAAGAGCTTGTAGAAGTGAGGGAAGAAATGAATCAAATTATTAAGGAATGCAGAACTCAAAATCCACAGCACAGATGGGGAAATTAATTATTGGTGCAAATAGCACCTTCTTTCTCTTAATTTACAGCCTGGTGAATTAATGGTTCCTGTGTTCTCAAGAAAGGGTTAGAGAATGGGCATGCTTCTTCACTGAAATAGGCAAGGAGCATGTAATTAGTTTTAGAAGGTCTTCCACCCAAAATGATTAAATCGAGTTTTGGCACATGAAAGGGTAAGCTTCAGTTACTGGAAAATTTACTTAGGTGACACAGCTCATTTCCTGATGAAGCCAGATTAATGGGACATTACGGAACCTAATTCCTCTAGAAGTAAATGACTCACCTCTCCTCCTGCTGGGCTGCCTGAAGCTTTCCATGGGCTTGGCCTCTTTCCCTTTCTGAAAGCCCAAGTGCTGGGATGGGAAATTCAGCTGGTGGGAGAACTAAACAAGTCAGTTTCTTCTTGGATTCTGGGTTCTCCACTAATTAGGCCTTAAATTTAATGCATCTGAAGAGCCAGACTAGAGCCCTCTCCCACAAAACTGGACAGAGGGATTTTTTTTGAAACTTACTAGGGAAGCTTGGAGTGATCTCAATGGCCATACGGGCAGGGCTTTGGAGAGAACCAGACTGAATACCATTGAGGACAGATCTGGGGGCAGACCTCTCGGAATGATGGGCATAGAACATGGAACCATTTATGTTTGTGCAGAACTTTACAAACAAATTATCCACTGCAGCATGACAGTAACAAGGTGATTAAGATGGCCTACTCTGTGGCTATTGGTTTATTTCCCCAGTCACCTTCCTGCTTGCTCAACAGACTCATGAACAAAGTGGCCACAGCCACAGAAAGAGGTTGGAAGTGTTACTGTAGAACAACTCGGTCTATGTGGTTGAACCTATGCACAACAGACCAACCATCCCATACCAGCTGAGGTCAGTCCTGAGCCTAAGGTATAGCACCTTTTACAGGGAGTACATTCAGCCCCTGGTCTGATCAGAATCTTGAATCCTATAGGGTTCAGGGATTTATCCTCAGACTTCATCATGTATTTGGGGTTTATTTGCTTGCCTACAATGTTTCTAATGATCCTATCATCTATGAATAAAAGAATACTTTATTCTCCATCATGGAATCTCTCACCCTTACACTTTGCCTTTGGCCAAGGAACTTATTTAACGAGAAGGAAGAAGGACAGTGGGTTTGTGACCTTAAGTGTTACCATGAATTTCATCATTTAGGAGCAGTCTACTAGAATGGTGGGTTGATCTATTAAAGACTCCATTACCCTCCCAGGGAGGGGAAGAGGGAGGATTATATATGGAACCATGGGGATAAAGGGGAAGTAGGAGCTCAAGAGAGGAGGAATCATCAGAGACCAGAGACTGGTATTGTCAAGGGGAAAATGGGGATACTTTAACTGGGAAGGGAGGAGGGAGGAAGGAAGGGAAGAGAGAGAGAGAGAGAGAGAGAGAGAGAGAGAGAGAGAGAGAGAGAGAGAATAAACAATGGTTAGCTAGTGGAAAAACCAGAGGGAAATATATTAGCTCAAAAGCCTACAGGAAAATTTATACATACAACATCTCTACGTGAGTGCAAGTGCATGGGTGTATGGCTGAAGGCTACATAACAAGAAACAGTTCCAGACAGAAGAAACCTCCATAAGGGCTGTTGGTCAGAGAAGCCCAAGAGACTCCTAAAACTGCGCAGCCTATTGCCACAACTTTGATGGCTTCCCAGAACTTGAAGGTAAGACCCTAGTGCTGAAGACAGAATATATTTCAGACACAGGACTTGGAGCAATGGACCTGGAACTAACTTGGAAGTCACCTCCCTGAAGCCTAGCTCTCATAGTTTTGGAGAACACTATGCAAGTTACTAAGGGAGAGCATTATTCGATGGGCCAATCCCAGCTTTAAGGCCTAATAACCACAATGATGACTGGCATAGCAAATTATGTTGATGCAGCAGTGGCACTTTTATCTTGGGGGCAATCAACTGCTACCTAATTGGAGTTAAAGCCCGCTCAGTGGGAGAGAACTCATGTGTGGTACTGTAAACATAGCCAAATACGCATGGTTGGAGAGGTCATAGATCTTAGAGGAAAACTAAAGCTGTCACATCCCTAGACAAACGTAATTTCTTACTATATGCTAAACATGAATCCTTAAATTTACAGACAACTATGCCAGTCACCACTCATCAAAGAAAGTTCTTTTGCAACAGATGGAGACTGTTACAGAGTTCCACAACAGGTCACACACAGAGAATGAGTGTCTGTGAGATGTCCAACCCTGAGTGACACATCTACAATGGAACCTCTATACCTAAGATTCACAGAATACAGTGGAACAAGGGGTAGAAAGAATACTAATGCTTCTCTCAATTCTCATCAACAAAGCTCCCTCATGCAGAGGGCAACGAACACAAAAGGCCACAGTGGCCAAAATGTAGAGAATAGGAGTCTGCAGAGTATGGGTCCCTGGACAAGACTCCTATATTAACCTTCATCCACCCAGGGCTCAGGGACCATTTCAGAAGAGGGGGTAGAAAGATTGTATGAGCCAGGAGAAGAGGTGCAGGACCACATGGAAAGAGTCAGGTTCCTGGGACCTTGCTCATATGAACCTACAACAATTGTGTCAACATGCACAAGACCATGCAAACTCAAGCAGACAAAAATCCAGTATAGAACTGGGGAAATGGACAGCAGGCCCCAACTTTAGCCAAAGAACTATTGGCAGCTGATTACAGCTGGGTGAGAGAGAGTTGATCTTCTTTAAGGGAGAGACTCTAGATAGGCTGACTAGACCTCAGTGGATGACCTTACACTGAGGGACATCTGGGTAAACTAACTTGATTTGATAGGCCTTAACATATATGACAGAATGCATGAAATCCAGTGTGATGGGCTATGGGGGGGGGTGTCCAGAAGAGGAAGGGGCATAAAGATGACTAAGATGTTTTGTATGAAATGCACAAAAATTAATAAAAATACACATTAAAAATTAAATTATATTAAATTAAAATTTGATTTTTAAAAAGACTCCATTATATGATACTTGCTAAATGGTAAGGCTTACAAGTCTGGGGTACTGTGCTACAAGATGCTGTATGTGTTATGAATTACCAGCTCACATTTGATGCCTTTCTCCTAGAGCCAGAATTCTTTGGTGTGAGACCAAGCAGTACCCTCTGTCATTTCCTCTATTCACAGAATTTCTTCTCCACTCTGTAAAACTTGGCTGTGGCGATTGACAGGTCTTCATTTCTAAGGAAGGAATATTTGTGCTCAGGGGGACACAATAAATGGCTCACTGAACTGAAGTCAAAACTGTCACTTGGCTGTCTGATGCTCCTTATAACTCTAAATCAACACGACCAGAGGCAAAAGTCATAGAAGGCCAGAGGAATCCAATGCATTCAGATCTACTGTGGCTCACGTGCTGTGCAAATGAAGATCAGGGTCGCACAATCAGGCAAAGACCTCGGAGGAACAAGAATAACAGCAAAAAGCAAATAAATGTAGCCGGAAATAAAGAAGGCCCTAACACAACTATGCCTTTGCAGTTAGTACAGAATGATCAAGCCTTACACAGTCATCTTCCACAGCCCAACTCTTCCCTACCTTTGAATAAAGTATGTGTATTCTTCAAGAGAGTGTCTTGTTTTTAGCTATTCTAGTGAGAGACAACTGTGCCTTCTTCTGAGACCGGTGAACTAAAGAAGCTGTAAAAATGTTAAGACTCTGGGCCTCCAGGAAAAATGGTACCTATCTCCCACAGAGAAGTATATTAAGTACAGGGATTGTTGTTACTCCCCGGCCCAGAGCCCCTCGCAGTACATCAAATAAGACTTCTTTATATATTGGTCTAAAGGGTGAATTTATTCACCACCTGCCAATTCCTTCCCTGCCCAGTGGTGGCCAGTCAACCATAGTAAATCAGACAAAGAAACATACGTTAGACATGTCACATGAAAGACACAACATTTGAATGGAGATCTGAAGTCTAGGTGAGGAGAGCGACGCTTGGTGAGGAAGGGAACATTCATTTCACAGAGCATGGCCCATGCCACGGTTCACCGCTGTCTTGCCAGTGCCAGTCATATATTATGAAACTGGGATGGGTGGTTGGGATAAATCTTTGCCTACAGTGGACCAACATCAGGGTGGTAAAAATATAACTCAAAGCTGGGTGACTCTGGGACCATGCCCAAACTCACCCAGCAGGCCTCCACTTGCTGCCTCTCCTGCTTTGCAAGAGGAGAGTTTAACACTCAACTGGAGTGCAAGGGGCCACAGGAAGCTGTGCTGATCAGTCCAGACTTGATTGCCGAGGCCTTTCTTTCTCTAAGATGCCAAAATGGAGCCCACAGAGTCTCCAGGTCTCACCAGGGCGAGACTCTTACTCAACAAGTCTTGCAGGTTATTCGGTCCATTTTTTAGATACAAGCAAACCCCTGCCACATCCCTCTTCTAAGTCCAAAACCAAAACTTCAATTTCCTTTGTGGGAATAAGGGATGTTCTGTGTAGGAATAAAACCACTACTGACCACGGGGAAGGGGAAGAAAGCAGTTGAGGCGCAAAGCCCACAGCTGCCTCCCCAGGAAGTGAGATTAATGGGGACAATGGCCAGATTGTCCTCCTGGTGCAAGGAGCCTTGCAGTCCCCAACCGGGAAGCCACTTACTGTCTTTTTCTATTTCTTTCCTTGAACCACAATTTATTGGAAGCTCTGCCAGATCCTGGGGAGGAGGGGTGGGGACAGGGGGCTGGCAGTGAAATGAAACACCTCATTAATGAAGAAGGCTGTTCTGCCTGGTGGCCAGAGAGCTTTCCACACAACCCGGGGAGCTAGGGGAGGGAGACTAGGAGCCAGAAGCACCTGCAGCTGTTGGATTTCAGAAGGTCGTGGTGAAGGCTGCATGAGGTAGCTAACCCAGGTGCCTAGCGAAGTACACAGTGTCATGTAAGCATCAGCTGCCAGCA